GTCTTTCTTTCAGAGTCTAAAGATTTCAAAACTTAAAAACACTCAGTCCAACAGAACAAAGGAATAAAAAAAAAAAACATGGAGAGACCACATGAACATTCCTTTCTTTTATATAAAGCAGGTGTGGTACTGCGACCACACAAGTCACATCTGTCCCTTTTAATACAACAATTGCAAACAGTGATTCAATAATTAAAAACACTCAAAAGAAATGGTGACCACACGGCCTGGCTGTGCACGTAGAAAACGTAAAATATTTATATTGTCAGTTTCGTAGACCTAATTACATTCTTCAAATGTACGTTTTGTCGATGAAAATGTAACACCGCAATGAGCCCCTTCCGAGTGTGTGCCTGGCGCCATTGTTAATCCAACACTACCTATCAATTACGAGTTATTAAAGTAGTCCCAAATGTTATTTTGTTGGAAAAAGCGACTTGCATGGAAAAGTTGGTGTTTTTGAATCTTAATACTTTTTTTCACCTGTTTGTATGAGATACCTAGTAAACCTTGTTTCTTGATGGTAATCATATAACTATCCATTTCGTCTTGAAATTGTATAAACTGAATTCTCACTCTTCAATGTCATTTTACTGGAGTGTGTCGCTGGTACGCTGTAGCTTAACTTTCAAACGTACTTTAGCAAGCTAAAGTAAGCCTTTGGTGTTGCACTGTATGACATTATAACAGGGTCTCTCAGGGTGTTGGAATTTTCGGTGTTTCAGCATTCCATCATGGTTTTCCATTATGATTTACTAACTGGGGATTCGAGGCATTGTCAAATAGAATTGGACCACGGACTCCGTGTGCAAATACTCAGCGACGCCTCTGGGCCATGTTTGAATCCTGTAATCCTTTGCTGTTGCATGTTTGAATGTGGAATCGGTCAGAAACCTGGTTTTGACAATTGCATGTTTTGCAGTAATGCAGATTCACCTGTCGGAATTTATAGGATATATATATTTTTAAATAAAGCTACATTAACAAACATATCTAATCGGTAACATGAAGGGTTGACATTGTCGTGTGAAATAGATCCTATGAACTACGACTTGTAAACTCTTAAGCTTGGATTTACTTTGGAAGATCACAGAATAACGGATTGGGATAGACAATGTGACTAGTTGGTATAGATACTTGCTGTAAAAAAAAAAAAATAATATATATATATATGTGTATATATGTATGTATATGTGTATATATGTGTGTATATATGTGTATATATGTATACATAATGTTCTTTGTTCAAAAGTAACTGCCTGAGTTATTGGTCTGAGTCTTCTGGTGAAACAGCGGTAAGTCTTCGGATTTACAACGTTAAAATATTAGGGGTTTGATTCCCCTTGGTGGACACAACCGATAGCCCACACGTCTATTATTGGTCTATGAAGCAAGCAGTAGAATTAGTTTTTTTTATTAATAATGTGATATTATTGTAAGTCTGATAATTATCATTTTGCTGGAATCACGTACTAACATTAATACAACTAGGAAAATATGTCATTTTTTTCGTAATATAACACATTGTGCATAAAAGCTATAGAATGTCAAAGTTTGAAACGCATGTTTCTGATGTACTCGTGAAGTTTATGAATGTAGTACCAAAATGTTTTTCTCGTTGTTTCACTTGGTCTGAACCTGGTGTGTTTGTTGTTTTGAACCTGGTTTGTTTGTTGTTTTGATCCTGGTGTGTGTGTTTTGATCAACACTGACCAATCTCTAGCACACTAATCCGATACTTCCAGAAAGGTAACTTTTTATTGACTTTAATAATAAATTTAATTACACACACAATGTATCAACCTGTTTTATTTTTACAGCTTAAAGTATAAATTCATAATAATTAGAACTGTGATGACTAACTGTTTAACTCGGGTTACTTAAATGTAAAATGAAATCGAACTTCAATGACAGAGTAGCTTCTGTGACTAGCGTTAAAATTGTTGTCCCAACTTTAAACTTGTTCAACTTCATTGGATTTTATTGATAATTTTCTTAAATAATATTAAGTTGTTAATTCTTCCGAAGTGGTTATTAGTGTTATTTAAATCCTGTAATAAAAAAACAACAAAAAAAAACAAAGCACAATTTCAGTAAATTTGAAATTACATAAAACCTGAAAACCAAAATGGGTATACTTACAATTTTGTCTATTTCTCGTAGATTAATACTTTAGTGTCTTTTCAACAAATCAGTTTAAAACATTCAAGACTTCATTCTCGCATCATGTATGGCAATTATTATTCTAGAATTCGAAAACATTACGACTAAGCGACCTATTTCTTGGTATCCGGTTCCAGAAATATAAAACCGTTCATTTGTTACATGTTGGAACCCTCTGATTGAAGATCAATGTTACGTCCAGGCTGGAGAACTTTGGTTTTCCTTTTATTTTTGTTACTTCTATGTAATTTAATATCTTTATTTACTTTCAAGTACATGTATTATTTCCGACTGAGACTAAATTGTTAATGTAACCTTTCGAAACTTCTGATGTTCGATTTTTAATGCGTTTCTCGGTTACGAGCAATATAAAAGCTTTATAGCATTAATGAGTACTAAAGGAAAACAATTATGAATAAAATTACTTTCATTACTAAATTTGTGTGTTATTCTTTTTAATTGCATAACGCTGGCACAAATATGAATAATAGTTTCTGAAAAGACTTTATAGCCATGAATATCGTTCCGTTGCTTTTTATTTCCAGGGCCACAATATATTTTCTTCTCTGTCAGCTGCTGATTACAGTCGTGTGATGAAGATTCTGAAGCAGGCTATATTAGCAACTGATTTGTCCACCTACTTTCAGTAAGTCTTGAACAACACAAGGTGTTTTGTGTGGGAAATAATGTTCTGTTGGAAATTCTGGCATAAATAAATGTGATATCTAAGTTCAGATACTTTCCAAAACCAAACAAAGAATGTTCATTTAATGTTTTATTATGTTTTCGCCTGGATATGTTTTAATAACGGGTCCAGTTAGTGATTTGTAGGTGAATAGGGTGTGAGGTGTAGCGAGTGCTCTGTGGGTGTTGAACAGGGGTTGAGGTCTTGAGGTGTAGTGGGCGTTGAACAGAGGTTAAGGTGTAGTGGGTGTTCTGTGGGTGTTGAACTGCTGGAATGACAGCTTTTATCCTTCCAAAAGTAAGACAAACTCGTACTTCAGAGTTGTCTTAAGCCTTTTAATTTTTTTAGTACCAAATAGCATCTCGTTACGTTAAAATGTTTTCATGGGTAGTTTCATCATTGCCTAAAAACTTAAAATGTTCACATACTTAAGGTTCATCTCGCAAGCTTTGTTGCAGATATTTTAGGTTTTGGTTAAATACTGTAAGTTCTAATTTTGCCTGACGTAACATATATAAACAAGCGGTAAACTGTTACATGTAATTATACATTCAATGAGCCTACGGTTTCTCCATTTGTTTTCATCTTTCGCTAATAACGTGCAGAACAATTATCTATTTTTGTATAATCATCACTGTTCAGTGGAATTGTACAATGAACCGCCCTTGCACGAAGAGATGTTAGTGTATTCATGGAATTTATTCTTTTGTTTTATTATAATTGATTCTAGTTCTTTCTAGTGTATGCAATCTCACGTTTTTCTCTAAAAACCATAAAATGTATTTATTTTTACTTTGGTAAAACATGAAATTTACTTTTTGTAAACATTAATATGATAGCATTACCACAGCAAAAGGTTTCAGCTTAAACATATTTCTTTTTAACTGATATTTTAATGTGGATGTATATGTTATAAGAAACAAGAAAAAAAGTACTAGTCTTACAGAGAAACTACAACTGAATTAGGGAGTGAGTAGGTCCAGTGGATGATGTGATCTAGGGAGTGAGTAGGTCCAGTAGATGATGTGATCTAGGGAGTGAGTAGGTCCAGTAGATGATGTGATCTAGGGAGTGAGTAGGTCCAGTAGATGATGTAATTAGAATACTGATAGTCAGTGACAAGATTATATGGAAACATTTACGTTACCTAGGTTACGCGGGAAGTTCTTTTCTCTTGTTGACAATGCTGAATACAACTGGGACGTTGAGGACCAAAGGGAGGTGCTGCGAAGTATGTTGATGACCGTTTGTGATCTTGGTGCTAGCACGAAACCATGGCACATTCAGAAGAAAGTAAGTTCATGGATAAATAAACTGTATGGTTCATTGTGACAAATAACACATCTTTCCAATTGCAATTCATGTTTTTTTGTAAATAAGATGTTGCATTTAGGATGTTTGATCATGGTCGTATTATTCTGACCCAATTTGACGTTAAAGTTTGATTTTAGGTAAAAACTCGAAACTAAAAGAAGAATCCCGCGTTAACATTTTTCTTAATGTTGTATATATTTTAACCTTGACATAAAAGCAGTAATGCAACCATTTTAATCATTATTATCTTTGCAAGTGTGATATTGTTCAGTAACGGATTCAGAATCCAGCATAACTTTAAAACGTACGCGCGCGCGCACACATTACCACCAGAAATGAAGAAGTTTAACCAATAGTTTCGCATTAATGTTCATTACTTTTTTCAGAATAGGCACGAATAATTCAGGCCTCTTTTTCCCTTATTGCTGTATCTTAATGAAGCTTATCATTTGTACCTAAATGTAATCGTTAATTTAAAATATTAGACGCGATTCGATTTAAATAGACCGCTTCTCAAACGGTATCGTAACGGGTAGAATTTATCAATAGGGTGTAATCACACACAACTGACTTCTCGTTGGTTCGTTGGCTTCCCCTCTTCCAGAGTACACGTGCTTGAATCCTACTGGTGTGGAGAAAATTGTTTTGAAGCTACGTTGGTGTTGTAAGATCTGTCTTTGTTTTTAATCTTCTGGGCTTTTAATTCACAGTGAAGAGTAGACGTTTCGGTGCGTCCCTGAGTTTCCACTATTATGTTGAGCATTTACTTGGTAGTCCAAGAATAATAATATTATATCTTCTAATGATAGTATTAGAAAATGTTAATATCTCAACATTCCGATGCTTCTATTCTACTTTATCCTTAATTTTGTAACACTTGATTTATTTTTAACACCTTTTTGTATTACCACACCTGATCACTTATTCCAAGGGGATTTTCAGCGCATCATCCATAGTAAGTTTGTTACATCAACCAACGCTGCTTGACGATGCATTACCAGCACTGAAGTTCATATAATTAGATGCAAACTGTGACGGATTTATTATTATATATTTATTTTAATATCGATATTTGCTTGAATTAAGTTTATATTTACAAGTGTACATAACTTGTACAGTTAAATATGTATTGCGAAACTCGCCTATTTTCCAAAATTGTTGAAGATTCTCGAAAGTAAGAATCAACAATATATGTGTGTACGTATACGCTTGTGTTAGCGTCAGTATTATTACGTAAAACTGAAATTTCGAGAAACTCTCCACGCGCCTATAAATATAACTAACGCAACGCGCCAAAAAAGGAGTACCTATTATTGGTTTGCTTTAGTCAGTGTGCTATAAACTTCGGAAGCTATAACTGTGATTTTTATAATGCTTATATAATCGGAAAACTTCAGATATTTAACCAGGAGCATTTGGAAAGTTCAAACATTACAAATTATTTAACTCCAGTGGATTCTCATCGGACATTAGTATTTTTACGAAAATATTACATAACTTCATCGTGGAAAACTCGGCGTGTGTGGCTGGTGAATAACGAAGGACAAAGCTAGCTAGCTAGCTCCCTGTTAAGTAAATTATACCTACGTCAACTCGTAATTAACTCGCTCATCGTTTGTTTATAAATCATTGTTTGTAATAACTGTTATTATAAATTGTATTGTTGTGTGTATATTAAAACGTATTTATGTTTAAGAAAATAAGAAACCTGAATTTAGCAGTTAAGTAAAGGCTGATATATATAGTCAGTTTATGATAATTGTCAACAAGATTGATACACACAAAGTACAATTTAACTACTATGTTTGAAGTATCATTTAACTCAGTTTCAGACCTTTTGAAATTCTAATACGTAACAAAACAAAACTAGTTAAACGCGTCGCAATGCCACTTAGTTATATGTCGGTAAAAATTGGAGAAATATAATTACCCAAACGAGCTACGTGTCTGACCTTTAACCTTTTTGAGCATCATGTAGTTACGTTTTTCATGTTCTACTTTACCATGAACGAAAGTCATTATCTTCAATTCTAAAGTTTAGTAACTATCCTAGTCTTTTATCGTTGATGATACCAAAAAAAGACCAAAGGATGCCAAGGCAGTAATTCGTGATCATATAATTTTGCTTAAAGATTTTATAATAACGCAATTTCATCGTAAAAATGTCAGGGTATAGTATCTTCTAGTCAAACAGCCACAAATGAATTTCTCTTTGCATGTAACACACTCCAAGAGAGTAACATTAAGACGGAAATTCCAAAATTCCTCGAATTAGTTACGTAAACGTACAGGAATAAAATGGTGGCTTCGTTATCATCAGTCAAACATTCTCTAAGTTTTCTGTTGACCCATTTTATTTGCTTTCAAAGAACCTTTAAAAATGTTCCAGGGCAATTGATTTGTGATATTTTATATTGGCATTGCTGTTCTGAGCACACGATTTTTACATGTTTCAATCCTAAGCCTATCATTCCAAAGATAATCGAACTAACTTTCATTGATCTGGGCAACTTTTGTATTATTGAATCCCGTTTCATCGATTAAAAATACGCATGAACATCAATAATTCTGAGACGTGTATGTACATCTAAGGTTTTTTTTTCCACAGGCGTTGAACAATTTTGAATATAAGAGCTGAATTTTTTTTTTTTAACTAGTTTGGTTAGTGTCATAATCGTTATAGTTTGTCAACGTAACTATAACTAAATAATTTTTTATTTAACCCGTAGTCTG